AATGATATGATTTAGTTTGTTGCTTTTTATTTTGTGTGTGTCTGTTGCATGTTTTTCGGTTTGAGGTTTCCATAAGGCTTTCAAATACTATCTTATAACCCATTATTTTAAGCTGATAACAACACTGTTTGCACAAACAAACAAGCATAAAGAAAATTATTAAAGAATTTTCACCTTAACTTCATCTCCTCATTTTCTAATTTCTTGTTGTTACTATTTAGGTCTTATTGTACTGTGTCTTGAAAAGTTGCTGTAGTTAGTATTTTTGATTGGTCCATCATTTAGTCTTTCTACTTAGGATAAGAGTAGTTTACACACCACAGTTATAGTGTTATATTCTGTGTTTTTTTGTGTACCTTCAGGTGATTATTGCTCAGTAATATCCTTTTCTTTCTGATTGAAGTGCTCCCTTTAACACTTCTTGTAGGGTGGGTCTGCTCTAAAATCCCTCAGCTTTTGTTTGCCTGAGAAAGTCTTTATTTCTCCATGTTTGAAGGATATTTTCATGTGATTTACTTTTCTAGGGTAAAGGTATTTTTCCTTTTGCATTTTAAATATGCCATGCCACTCTCTCTTGGCCTTTATGGTTGGTTTCCACTAAAAAATCTGCAGTCAGGCACATTGGAGATTCATTGTTATTTGTTTCACTGTTTTTAGGATGCTTTCTTTAACCTTGACTTTTGGGAGTTTGATTATTAAATACCTTGAGGTAATCTTCTTTGGGTTAAATCTGCTTGGCATTCTATAACCTTTTTGTACTTGAATGTTGATATCTTTCTCTAAGTTTGGGAATTTCTCTGTTATTATCCCTTCGAATAAAATTTCTACCCCTGTCTCTTTCTCTACCTCCTCTTTAAGGCTAATACTCTTAGAATTGCCCTATTGAAACTATTTTCTAGATCCTGCAGGCATGCTTCATTGTTTTTAATTCTTTTTTCTTTTGTCTCTGACTGTGAGTTTTCAAATAGCTTGTCTTGAAGCTCACTATTTCTATCATTTCTGCTATTAAAAGACTTTGAGGCATTCTTCAGTATATCAATTGCATTTTTCAACCCCAGAGTTTCTGTTTCATTTTTAAGTTATTTCAACCTCTTAGAATTCTGAATTCATTCTCTGTGTTAGCTTGAATTTGAGGTTTTTTTAACACAGCTATTTTGAATTCTCCTTGATATCGCATTTCTTTAACATATGAAAGGTCACATATCTCTATTTCTCCAGAATTGGTCCTTGGTGCCTTATTTAGTTCATTTGGTGAGGTCATGCTCTTCTCAATAGTCTTGAGACTTGTGGATATTTGCCTGTGTTTGGGCATTGAAGAGTTAGGTATTTAGTCTAGTCTTCACAATCTGGGCCTGTTTGTGCCCATCCTTCTTGGGAAGGCTTTCCAGATATTAGAAAAGACTTGGGTGTTGTGATCTAAGCTGTATGTGCATTAGGGGCACCCAAAGCCCAGTAATGCTGTGGTTCTTGCAGACTTTTAGAGGTATTGTCTTGATGGTCTTGAACAAGATCTGAAAGAATCCTTTAGATTTCCAGGCAGAGACTCTTTTTTCTCTTCTTTCTCTTTCTCCCAAAAATAAGTCTTTCTGTTTTGAGCCACCTGGAGCTGTGGGTGGAGTGAAACAAGCACCCCTGTGGCCAGCACTATTTAAACGGCACTGTGTCAGACTTGAAGCCAGCACAGCACTGGGCCTCACCGAAGTCTTGGCATAACCACTCTCTGGCTACCACCTATGTTTGCTCAAGACCCTGGAGCTCTATAATCAGCAGGTGGCAAAGTCAGTCAGGCTTATGTCCTTCCCTTCAGTGCAGTGAGTTCTCTCAGGTCTCAAGCAGGTCCAGAGATGTCATCCAGGTACCAGACACTGGAGTCAAAAACCTTAGAAATCTACCTAGTATTCTATTGTACTACAGCTGAGCTGAAACTCAATCCACAAGACACAGTCCTTTCACTCTTCCCTCACTTTTCTAAAGACAGAGCAGCCTCCACCCCATGGCCACTGCCACCGCAGGCTCGCGGGGATTACTGCCAGGCTACCACTGATGTTCCCTTAAGAATTCAGGGCTCTTCAATCAGCTTGTGTTGGATGTTGCCTGGCTTGGGACTCACCATTTGGGGCAGTGGGCTCCCCTCTGCCCTCGGGAAGGTAGAGAAATGTAATCCAAGATCCAGTACCTGGAATTGGTGACCCCAAGAGTCCTCTTCATGCTCTACCCTGCAAGGTTGAGCTGGTACCTAAGGTACAAGACAAAGTCCCCTTTACTTTTCCTTCCACTTTAGTGGAAGGAGTCTTGCCCCATAGCCATCACAGCTGGGAATGTGTTAAGTCTTATCTGAAGCCAGCAAGTCCCAGAGTCCTAAGGCTTTTGACATAGTATCTGGGTATCACTGCTAGTTATTCAGGCGCCAAGGGCTCTTCAGTTAGCAGGTAAGGAATCTTGCCACAGCTGGGTCCTTCCCTTCAATGCAGTAGGTTTCCTTCTTGCCCAGGGTGTGTCTAGAAATGTTGTCTGGGAACTGGGACCTAGAAAGGGGGCCTCAGAACTCTGACCAGTGCCCTGTCCCATTGTAGCTTAGGTGGTTTCCAGGATGCAAGACGAAGTCCTCCCCACTCTTCCCTCTTCTCTCCTCAAGTGGAAGGAAGAAGTCTCTTTCGGAGCTATCAGCTGTGCAGCCTGGGTTAGGGGAGGTGTTGCGCCAGGACTCCCTTTGCCACCCTGGCTACTGTCTCAGTCAGTTGAGTGCCCTCCCCTCCCCAGTCCACTGTCTGAGAGCCCAGTTCAGCACTAGGACTTGCTTAGGAGTTGCAGTCCTTGTGTCCTAGACTGCCTTTCATGTTTATTTGCGGGCCCCAGAGCACTTTGGCCCAAGGCGGTGTGGCTTGTGGGAACTCAAATTTCAATGCTGGGATGAGCAATTCCCCTCTGACTAGGGCTGGTTTAAATGCTCCCTCTGTATGCAGGCGTCAGCCCAGTTCCTTATTTTGCTTTCTGCTGTGACAGGACAGCACTGAGTTCAGTGCCTCACTTCAATTGCTGTGCTTTCCCTCTCCCAAGTAGTCAGATTCTCTCTCCACACCCCTCAGTCTCTGCCAGGCGATGGGGAGGTGGTGGTGGTGATTCGAGACTGTTTTTCTTACCCCTTCAGTGCCTCTTTCAGTGATACGAAGTTAAAACCAGGTACTGTGAGTGCTCATCTGACTTTTTGTTCTTACGAAGCTGCTTTTTTTGTGTGTAGGTAGTTGTTTAATTTGTGTCCTTGTGAGGAAGGCAGGGGATGATAGGTGGAGTCTTCTATTACACCATCTTACATTGGCTTCCTCTGCATTCTTCTGTCTGGGTGTCTCTGAGGCTCTGTGTTCCAGGATCTGTGTGTTCACAAATCTGCAAAGGCCTCTTTCCATATGCCCTGTGTTAGTGAGTCCCTGAGTCTGTGTGTTTCTGGAAGTTTGCTTTCCATGTCTGTGTCTCTGTCTGTGTTTCTGTATTTATCCTCTTCTCCATCTATTTTCCCCAGCTCTTGTCAATATCTCTGTGTTATTGTTTCTCTATGTTACTGTGGCCATGTCTTAAGTTGTTCTGTGATTCAATCCCTCTCGTTTTCAGTTCCTGTGTCTTTTTCTCTGGGTTCCCATGACTGCTGACATTTCGATGAGTCTGTTTGTCAGGCTGTCTTTCTGCATCTGTTTCTCTTTCTGTGTCACTCTGCCCCTGGTTTTGTTTTGGTCTGGCTCACCTCCTCTGTGTTCCTGCCTCTCTGTTTGCGTCTGGTGTCTGGTTCCATATCTTTTTATCTTTAAGCCACTATCTCTGTGTACTTGGGTCTGATTCCCAGTTCCCATGCCTTCTGTTGTGGCCTTGCTTGTCTATCTGTGTGTAGCTTTTTCTGGTGTTGCTAGGTGCATTTTGGTTCTGTGTCTTTGCATCCTTCCTTGCTTCTCTGGATGTACTTCTTTGTCACATGTTTACGCCCATTTGCTTATATTCTGCCTGTCTGTTTCTATGTGTTTAGGTTTCCTTGTTCCTGTTTCTATCTTACCAGACATGTCCCTGTGTTTCCGTCTCTGCATCTAGCCTGTGTCCATATGACTGTGTTTGTGGGTTCACATCCCTATGTCTACTTGTTCTGGGTTCTCTGTCTCTGAATTCCCAATGTCCCTGTCACTATGTCACAATGTCCCCATTTTACCTGGGTCTGCACCTTGCCTCTCCTTATGTTTCTTGTAACTGTGCAAAGCGTCTGAGTCTCCATGCCTTTATCTGTGGATCTGTGAACATATGAGTCTGTGCTCCTGTCTCACTCTTAGTGTATTCCTCTGCCTATGTCCCTATCTTTGTCACCAAGCCTGGGTCTGTGTAACATCTCTGTTTCTATATCTTTATACGTCTCTGGCCCTGTGTTTCTGTGTTCTCTTCCTATTCCCTGCCTCATGTTTGCAAATCAGCATGTCAGTGTATCTCTGAGTTTCTACCCTTCTGACCTTGGACTGTGGTCCTGGTCAGTATCTCCCTGGTTACCTATGTTCCCATGTCTCTGTGTCTTTTGATACCTCTGCTCCTGTGTCTGGATCTCTGTGTTTATCTATCTCGTAGTTTGTATATAGTTATATAGCAGTGTCTTGACATTACTCATTGTGTGTTTGTACCTAAGTGGCCTTGTTTCTTACTCCTCACTTCTTTGTGACAGGGACAGTAACTGAAAACCACAAAGACACAGAGGCTCAGCAAGAGAGCATCTCTTCATTTTTCTCTGAGTTTATGTCCCTGATGCTGCCACTCTGGCTCCCTGCCCCTATCTTTTTATGTCTCTATACCCCTATGCCCATGTTTGTTTTGTGATTCCTGTGTTTCCATAAGTGTCTGTCCCTCCATTCTCCATCCATATCTGTGTCCTTGCCACTGTTTTTCTGGGTGCGATCCTGTGTCTTTGGTTGTGAGTGTATATATATGTGTGTCTACTGCTATGTTATGGGATCCTTTTTTGTTAATTAATTTAATTCTTTTAACAAATATTTACTAAGCACCTATTATGTGATAGGCACTGGGGCTACATAGATGATTTGGAAAAGGTCCTTGCCCTCAAAGAGCTCACAGTCTAAGTCAGATATCCAAGACAAGTAAACAGATGGTTACTACACAGTCTAAGTGCTGTGAGCTTGGAGGGCGGGGGGCTATAGGAACCCAGAGGACAGGACCAAGCTCAATCTAGGGCAGGCATCAGAAAAGGCCTCCTAGAGGAGGTAATAACTAGGACTTGAAGGATGAATTACATTCACCTACAGGAACAAAGGAAGCATGTCTCATGTAGAAGGAAAAGCACATGCAATGGTGGTCCAGTGGTAGGAGTGAGCATGGTTTGTTAGGGAAACTCTAAGAGCATGGTTTGTTAGGGAACGTTGTGAGCAGAACTACTGACTGTTTTTTGTTTTACAAAAGTGACTTGTAAACCTGGTGTGGATCTTGGATTTGGAGGGAGTGAGACTGGAGACATGACGGACCATGAAGATGCAGAGGTTTCTGACTCTAGGCCTCTGCATGTGTGTGTGTTTGTATACTCTTGTGTATGTGTTCCTTAGAACATGCGTGAGTCTTTGTGTCCCTGTGTGTGCTTCCATGTCTTTGGGTCTCTGTGGCTGGCTCACCCCATGTCCTGGTTTCTGGATCTCCCAAATTCAGGTCTCCTGGCTCTGCCATCACAGGACATAGGAGAGGTAGGAGTGACCCAGAAGCTGCTCTACATGAGAGCGCTTCACCAGCCAGCAGGAAACCCAGCGGGGCAGCAGCCTTGGTGAGTCCTTCAGCAGCCTCTTGCCTAGAATCACAGGCACATCTGGGCCCTGGTGCCTTCGTAAGCGTGGCCCCATAGGTCCTGTCACCAGTCGGATGTCTGCGTGCTGGAACTGCCCTGAGGGAGAGAGATGCAGTGCTAGTCAGGGCAATGGCCTGAGTCCCTGCTCAGAGATCTGTAAGGAACTTAGAGCAGGACATCCAGAGGGATTTAAAGGAGGAGGAAGGAGGTGCAGCAAAGGACCAGAGGAAGGAAGAGGCTGGGCATTGTGGGAACTGTGCAGGAGCCAGATGGGACTGGAGTGTAATATGGAAGTAGGGAGCCAAAGTGGTTGGATGAAATGGCAGAGAAAGGGGGATAGCCAGGCTTGGAGGAGAAGACAGGGAAGATTAGGAAGAAGGAGACAAAAGGAGGGAGGAGGCCGAGAGGAGGTAAAAATATCTGTTCAACCCACTGTCAGTGCTCAAACTCTTTGGTATGAGCCTCTGCCTCAGGCTCTGCCAGTGTCTCCTGACCTACAGCCTGGCTTCCTGCAACCTACCTTCACAGCAGTCTCCAGAGGGATCTTTGTAACACCCAGATATGACTGTGTCTCTCCTCTGCTTATAACTCTTCATGACTCCTCGTTGCTTTCAGGATAAAGCCAATTCTTCATCCTGGCATTCAACTCTGACCACTCAGCTCCATTTCCTCCAACTTCTGTTCCTTTTCTCCATACCCTTGTGTAGCCTTTCAGACTCAGCATGGGTGTGTCTACCTCCTCCAGGAGGTCTTTCTCGAGCTCTGAGACTGGGCAAGTTCCCCCACTCTGGTTTTCTGTAGCTCTATGGGCAGCTTTCTGTCCAGCAATGATCCCTTCCTATGTTCACTATCCCTATCTGGTTCTGTCCTCTCCCAAGATGAAGGGCTCCTCAAGGGAAGAGCCTGTCTCTGATTCCTCTTCCTGGTTGGGGGCATGGGTGCCTCTCACCCTGGCAGGGTCTTTTTGGGGGCTGGTGCCCTCTGGCCCCTCTCAGCCTCAGCTGGACTTACCCATCAGGCCACGGGCTGAGGGGCTGAGGCCCAAGCCATTGGCCACGTAGAACCCCAGATGGGGTAGTTGCAGGGTACTGGGATGTCTGTAGCGGTGCCGGAGGACCAGGAACTCAAGGTAGGGCCCAAGGCGGATGGTAAGGTGGGCTGCAGCAGCCACGTAGAGCTCCAGCTGGGGCCTCTTCAGCACGGCAGGTCGGTCCCAGGACAGGTGCAAGGTACCCTCGCCTCGCAAAGATATAGAACTGCGGCTGATGGTGATAGTGTAGGCCCGGGGTTTCTCTGTACTGACTGTGATCGTCTGGAAGTAGGTGCGAGTCTGGTCCTCATGGCCCAGCCTTGGTGGCGCGCCAAGCAGCTTCCCACTCACGTGTAGCCCTGGAGGGAGGGGAGTGTGGGCCTGGAGCAGTGGCTTTTGCGTGGTCATTTACATGGTCACCCACAGCACGGGCAGATGAAGTAGTAGATTTGTGGCTAGAAAGCCCGCTCCGGAGAGAACTACATGTATAGATACATGTGCTTGCCTCTGAGTGTGTAAATGTGTGTGTTCGGTTATGCTCCTATGAGTAACTCTTGGCATATCAGTACATCTGCATGTTGGAGAAGGTGGTATGTTAGAATGCGTCGTTTTGGTTGTATGTTTATGTGTGTGCCCCTGGATATGTTGGTGTTCTATGTCTTGATGCAATAGTGTATGTTGTGTGCACCTAGTTATGTGTTAGTCTGTACTGATATGTATCTGGAGTGTCAGTGTGTGTGCATTTGGATTTGTATCATTTTTTGGCTTGGCGGATATTTCCATGCATCAGTATGTTGCATATAACAAGAGTAGCAGAGTATGTTTGCCGACTGTATGTGCTGAATTCCTGGAAATTGGGATCAGGCTGGAGGTATTCAGTGCTTGTATGCCCGAGGGTGTTGCGGTGCATGCCATTGTATATATCTGGGCATGTATTGTGTGTCACCATGTGTCTAGGTGCATATTATGAGAATGTTTAGAGAAAGCAAAAGATTTAGCAGAAAAATGCCTGGGAAATCTTCACCAGAGAATTCCTCTATACCATGACAATGCTTCTACTCATTTCTCTCATCAAACAAGGACAATTTTTCAAGAGTTTTAATTGGAAATCATTAGGCATTTACCTTACAGTCCTGATTTGGCTCCAACTTATTTTTGCTTCCTAATATTAAAAAATCTTTAAAGGACACCAATTTTTCTTCCTTTTTAAAATAATGCATAGAAGACGTTCATAACACGGTTAAATTCCCAGGACCCTCAGTTCTTTTGACTGACTGGCTGCTATTGTTGCTTACAAAAGTGTCCTGTACTTGATGGAGCTCATGTTGAGAAATAAAGTTTATGTTTTTAGTTTTTATCTTTTAATTCCATTTTACCACAAACTTTCTGAAGTCCCATCATATTTGTGTGAGTTTACTCCAAGCCCTTTTGTGTATCTGTGAGTATCTTGGTGTTTGAGTGTATTCATGTGTGTTTCTTTGTGTCTTGGTGTGTTCTTGTGTGCATGTTAGCGAGGTGCATTGCTGTGTGTCTGGGGTATTACTCCACAAATGTCTAGGGGTATTGACATGGATCTATCCAGCTGTGGTGTATGGGGCTGGAGTCCTTGGGGCTCTTACCTGCCTTTGGGTCCTCTATGAGCTGTAGCAAGTCCCCGGGGTGCCCATTCAGTGTGAAGCAGATCTTCTCTTCTGAGTGTGGGATTTGGATCACAAAGTGGGGGTCCCCATCCACTGCAAGGCAGGAGATACAACTCTAGAGTTAAAGGAATAAATGGAAAGGAGAGGGAGGAGAGAGGAGGGGAAGGGAAGAGGTCATGTCTATTTCCCCAGCCCCAGTCCCAGTGCACAAGCTACCCTGTACTCAAACAGGGGAGCCATGGGGTGACTGGCTTACCTGAGGAGGAGAAGGTGAAGACGCTAGGCAATGTGCCTGCAAAGGAGAGATAGACTGTGTTGGGAAGGGAGTAATCTATCATATTCCTAGGAATTCTGGGACCTCCTCCCAGATAAGGGCCATACTCCTGTCAGCATTTAAGGCTTCTCTGAAATCCAGTCCCTGCCTAGCTCTCCAGTCTCTACGCTCTAGCCCAATCAAACTGTAGTTATGAGTGTCCTGCCTTCTCTTCCTAGTGACCCTTTATTCCTGTTTCTCCTGCCATCCGGAATGTTTTTCTTTCCCTTAACTATAAAGGATCAATTTCTAATTATCCTTCAAGGCCAGCCCAAATGCTATTTTCTCTTGCTCTCTGCCGCTGGTAGGTAGAATTCTAAGATGGCCCCAGGATCCTTTGGTGTACACACTCTGTAAAATTTGCCAGAGTTGTGAATATGATGAAATATCCTTCCAGAAACAGTTTATTTCATGTGACCCTATTGACCTTATGAAGGGGATATTATCCAGGTGGGCCTGACCTAATCATGTAAGCCCTTAAAATTTGCATCTAGAGGTCAGAGACAGAGGAGTCAGAGAAATTTAAAGTGTGAGAAGGGTTTAGCGTTAGGGGAATGCTCTCTAGCTGCCTTTGAAGATGGAGAGGGACCACGTGACAAGGAATGCAGGAGACTTCTAAGTACTGAGAGTGGCCCAAGGTAACTAACCTCTAGCAGCTGAGAGTGATCCCCCAGCCAACAGCCAGCAAGAAAACAGGGACCTCAGTTCCAGCAACACAAAGAACTAAATTCTGTCAACAATGTGAATGAGTGTGGAAGAGGATGAGAGTTCAGTGTGACAGACACCTTCATTTCAGTCTTATGAGACCCTGAGCAGAGAATTTAACTAACCTATTTCTACTTAGACTACTGACTTACAGAACTGTGAGATTATTAATTGGTGTTGTTTTAAGCTACTAAATTTGTGGTAAATGTTGCACAACCACAGAAAACGAATACATTACCTCCTTCTGGGCTCCCACATGTCAATAAGAGTCCTAATGGAATGGAAATGAAGGCCTAGGGGATCTTTGTCAGGGGAGCTCCTTGCTCACCTTTTGCTAACCCCACAGAACGTCCTTGAGATCCCATGCTGCCTCCAGCTCCTCCCAGGATCTCCTCAGAATCACCATCCCAGTTTGGACTTCCTGCCAAGCACAGAAGAAATAAGAAAACCCTTCGAATTCCCAGGGAAAAGGCTCACAATCCTTCTGACAAGGAGAGCCCTCACTGGCTTTGCAGGCTAACCTGTCCATCTCCAGGACTGGGACCTTATGCTCTCCACAGCCTCTTAGTCTTTCAAGCTCAGATATGTTCAAAGTTCTTCCTTATACCATTTATGCATTCATTTGTCCGTTCATTCATTCATTCATTCAGGCATTGCTTAGGTATCAGGTATATGGCGGTGAAAAAGAGAGACATGTTTTCTGACCCAGTGAAGCTCATAGTTTAGTAGGGGGTGGCAGACATGAATGAAATAATAATTTATCACAGATGGTGATAAATGCTATCAGAAAAAATTAACGGAGTGACTGAGGGAGTTAAAGAGAGACCTGAAGTAGCCTGCTTGGGGGAGGGTGGGTAAGGAGATCTGAGCTGAGATCTAAGGCATGAGCTGGAGTTTGAAGGGCGATGGAAGGGATGAGGGCCGCAGGAAGGGGTAGGACAAAGCCAGTCAGGTGATTATCAAGCAGAGAGAGACAGTAGCTTGAAAAAAGTCCCTGAGTGGAGACAGGGTAGGGCATTCATTGGAGGAGCAAAGTAGAGACCAGAGGGGCTGGAGTTAAGAGAACGGGTGGGAGAGGGTGAGGTCATAGAGGAATGAGGGTAGGAAGCAGATCACACAGAGCCCGTTAGCCATGAAGAGGACTTTTAACTTCATTTTAAGTATGATGGGAAACTATTGAGGGATTTTAAATAAGGAAGGGTCATGAAGTGATTTGTGTCTTTAAAGGATCCCTTTGGGAAAGAGTGGCATGTAGCAGGACGGGAGAGGACGCAGGGAAACCAGTGAGGAGGCTGGAACAGTTTTCTAGGTGAGACACAACGGCGGTTTGCTGTCGCATAGTGACAACTGAGGTGGTGGGAAGTGGATGGATTTGGTAAATGTATTAGAGGTAACATTGCTAATAATTGAGGATGAATGGGACATTGGTGGGGTGTCTGATACATGTAGAGGATGTCATGCCCAAATTTGCATCCCTGTGACTTAGGCACCCCCAACTGGTTCTAATCTTGCCCTATAAGGTCACGTAGGAAATGTCTCTACTTCTCTCAGGAAGGCAGGATATTGGAGTGCTGAATCACATTCATTCTGTGACCAGACTGTATGAGTTCAACTCTCTGACTAGCTGTGTGACATGGAGAGAGTTATTTTACCTCTCTGGGCTTCATTCTCCTCATGTGTAAAATGAAGATGTCAACAGTTTCTCGTGAGGTTTAATTGAGACACAGGTACAATATGTAGAGCAGTACCGTGAATAAGAAGAGCTTACAAATGTTAATTTATTATTTTATAAGTTTTTTTTGAAATTAAAGATAATTTTAATGATCTTCCCAATCCGTCTACCCCTGTCATTAAGCAGGACTATTCACAGAGCTCAGAAAAACCAGTAAGACCTGACTCGCCAATGATACATCCCACCCCTGCTTGGGAAACATCAGCAGTTCTCTTGTCCAGCGTAACGAATGTCAAAGCTACCCCCTGGCTAATTTGTTTCTATTCAACCTTCCCAGTCTCAACATCCCTCCTCTCCCAAGGCCTCTAATTCCGTGTATGTATACTGAAGCCCAGAGAAATTAAGTAACTGGTCCAAAGTCCCAAAGCAAGCAAGCAAGGAAGCAGCGATTCCAGCACTGGAGTCTGCATAAGCCTTGTAGATTCCCAGCTCCTGGTACTGTCCATTCATACCTCACCCTCATGGCTCGACCTCTTACCCGTGGAACTCACCATCTGCATCAGGAGTGAGGAAGGTATAGAATGCTGGTGGGTTCAAGGACTCCACAAACTTGGATTCCACTGTTGACTCAGACAGCAGCACTAGCTCCTCAGGGAGAAGGAGCAGACTGATGGCCTCAGGGACGTTGCTGGAAGGCAGCAAGATTGGCAGGTTTGGAGGGCTGCCTTCTGTTGCAGACCTGGAGCTGTTGAGTAGGCTCATTGTTGGAACTCCTGGCCTAGATGTTCCCAGAACTTGCCTGGTCTTCTGGGGACCCAGCAGCAGGTCATGCTGATGCCAGAACCTTCCAGGGGGCAGAGTGGGGGCAAAGGGCATGGGGAGGGGTTCACCAAGGACAGAGGTGATTGTGGTACTGCTGGGACCTGTGGAACTTAAGATTGTATTTGGGAATGTGCTTAGGCTCTCAGGAGGTGGGGGTCTCAGTCTGTCAGGTCTAGGAGGTAGTAGGGTTTGGGGAATATGGGGGCTTGGGGTCTCAGGCTTGGAAACTGGTACACTTGTGGAAATTTGGTGTGGTGGGGCACTCGGTTTAAGAGATACTGAGATTTTAGGGGTCTTGGATAAGAGGATCCCAGGTCTGGGGTGTGGCATGTTGTTTCGGGTCTTGGGAGCAGGAACCCTAGGTCTGGTGTTTGGTGGGTACTTGGGAACCTGAAGTGTAGAGACACCAGGTCTTGACAGTGGCAGGCCTTTAGGTGACTGTGATGTGAGTGCCCCAAGTTGGGGGTGTGATGGAGCACCAGGTTTGGAATGCAGTGGAGTAACATGTTTCACAGTGCTAGCTTTGGGCGAGGCTGGGATGCCAGCTGTCAGAGTTGGGACTTGCGTCCTGGAGTTCATGGGTAATATATCAGGATTCTGGTGTGATGGAGTGCTGGGCTTCGGAGGCAACAGAGCACCAGAATTTGAGGGTACAGGAACAGTAGGTTTTGTCCTGAGAGTTGGCTGGGCCAAAGTGCCAGAATCCTGTTGTGCTGGAGTTTTGGCCTTTGGGTATGTGGGCATCGACAGGGTACGAGGGCTCTCTCCCAATGGCTCCAATTCTTTGGAACTGAGCATCTTCTTGGTAGAGGCTGTGGTAGTTGAGGATAAGTAGAACTTTGGTTTTACAGGCCTTGATTTGGGGGAGATAACCTTGGGCACCAAGGCTGGCTGAGCTGTGCTTACCCCTAGGCCATGCCTGCTGCTGGATGAGGGCATTATGGTGTTTGGCCCAGCTGTGGTGGAGATCTGTCTCCTGGTCTCCTCATTGGCCTCTTTGGGTTGCACCATGATCAGTGAAGTCAGAGGTGTGACAAAGCTGTATTCAAGGGACAGGTTGAGGACTTTGGCAGACAGCAGGTGGCGAGTGGTGGTGTCACGAGCTTGGAAGCGTGCATCCAGCAGCTCTCCAATGGTGACATAGGCCCAGAGGCGGCGGATGAAGTGGGCCGCATTTGGGGCTGGCTCCCCTGGGCACCCAAATGCCCTCTGGCTATTGTTGGTGGCCCCTTCACTGTGGCGGGCCACAAGAAGCTGATCCTTGGGGCCACGGGCTGCCAGGTGGATGCCCAGCTCCTGTTTGCCTGGCTGCACCTGGCCTGCCACCACCAGCTCTGAGCCACCAAAGTAGTTGGGGAAAACGGCCCAAGGGGAGGCCCCAACCAAGCCGCCCAGGTAGTCCAGACGCACATCTGCCAGCAGAGGCATGGAGATCTCCTCATAGAGGCCCTCCAGCTGTAGGGCCGCATCAGTGCCCTCATATATGCGCCGGGCTATTCCCCGATTTTCCAGGGAAAGGCGGCGCAGCAGTGTAAAGTCAGCATCATCCCCAAAGGCCAAGCTGAAAAGGGATACCCTGTGGCCTAGCGCCTGACGGACATTGGAGAGGATCACACTGGGGGTCGTCACGCCGGTTGTGGGCTCCCCATCTGTCAGGAAGATGATAAGAGGGATCCTTCCCACACTGGGGACCCTCCCAGGCTCCTGGTTGCTATGGTTCAGCACTGAAGCAGCTGCCAGCAGAGCTGAGTTGATGTCGGTCCCTAATTGGGGAATAGATTGTGAGACCATCTTCTCTGGTCACTTTTACCCCCATTGCAGACACACTGGGCACCTCACCAACCTCCCAAGCTCACAGCTCCTTATCTTTGCTCAGGCTGTATTCACTGTTTCTCCTTCCCAACTTCTTCACTCCCACCCAGACTTACTGATATCTGACACTGGGACCCACATGTCCTTGGCTTTTATCACTCTCTGTCTCATATTGTTCTTTGTTTCCTTGGTGGTGCAGGGTCGGGAGGGGAGATGTCTCATTCCCAGGTCAGACTGGCGGGTTCCCAAGGGCAGCACCCCCCCGACACACACCTTCTTGTTACAGGGGAAGAAAGGACAGAATTGACAGGAGGCAGTGGGAGACTTCAGTAATTGTCAGAGATGATTGCTCAAAAGCCAGGATCAGGGCAGCAGCTTGCTCAAATGCTTGGAAATAAATATCTAGATTATTGATTTAAAGAAAGTTTAGCAAATTCTTTCAAGGGTTTGCTTTAAAGAGGAGGAAACTGAGACCAAAAAGAAATGTGCCCTAAGATACATGGAGAATCAGCTGCACTCTTTCTTCAAGGAAAGGGTGATGGGAGAACGCAGAGGACAAAGGACCGTATTTGTGTGAAATCTAGTCTTGATATTTCAGGCACTGTGAGAATTGAGGAGGATGGGGGAATGAAGAGAGGGTTTCAGGAATTTCCCATATCACCACAGCCTGTCCCTTTGGGTGGGTAGATCTAATACTTACAACCATCAGCTTCCATGCGATGCAGGTAGTCTTTGGCACTGTGGACATTCCGGGTGGTGGCCTGGATTGAGCCTCCAGCTTTCCAGACACTAACTGTGTCAGAAAAGGAGATGATGTTGAAGTAGTCATTGGCTTGAAGGTCACTGAGAATCACATTCATGGCCTTTTTAGTCTGTGGGATATGGATGAAATGAAGGGAATGGAACAAGACTTAAGCTCTATCAGATTGAAAGGTTCTTTCTACACAAGGCACTAAAATCTAAGCGTTATATGGTTTTAAGACCCTCTGACTGCAGGACTCTGTGAATCTAGGATTCTCAGGTGAAAGTACTCTATGGGTTCCAAGGCATAGAACTACACTGTTTAATACGGTAGCTAATAGGCACATGTAGCTAATATAAATTAGCTAAAATTAAAGAAAAATTTAAACATTCTTTACTTGCAGTAGCCACATTTCAAGTGTTCAATAGCCATATGTGGTCAGTGGCTACTATATTAGATAGCACAGAATTTTAGGTCATTTCCATCATCAAGAACTTCATATTGGGCACTAGTGCTCTAAAAGGTTCAAGCTCCATGTTTTTTTGTTTTTTTTTTTTTGTTTTTTAAGATGGGGTTTCACCATGATGGCCAGGCTGGTCTTGAACTTCTGACCTCAGGTGATCCACCCACCTCGGCCTCCCAAAGTGCTAGGATTACAGGCATGAGCCACCGCACCCAGCCAAAGCTCCACGTTTTTGGAGCCGGAAAATTCATTTGCTATATGATCCCTGGACTCCATGACCCAGGATTCAATGATTCCAGGACTCTAAAGTTTAGGACCTTTATGATCCTAGGTCTCTCTAGCTGCCTTTCAATGACTTGGCACGCTTTGGTTCTGCTCTAATCCGCTTTTCTGCCTCACCTTCCATTTCTTCCAGGCTAGTCACACCAGCCCCTAGAAAACACAGATTCTAGTTCGACTCCATAAACCTTGCTCTTATTGTGCTCTTTAGATAGCATACCCTCCCACTTCCCCTTTATTTATTCACAACTTTACTATTCTTTCAGTTGCTCCTTCTCTGGACAGCTCTTCCTTAAGTTGCCAACCCTGACTCATGCCCTTCTTGCTTACATATTCCCTGTCCCAGTCCGTTCACTGTTTTCCATGAAATATTTTTACTTTTTATCCAAATGTTGAATCCTTTGGGAGAAAGGCTTATAATGCTTCTTGTTATTGTCTCCATGGCAACACTAGCATAGGGCTAGGCCCATAGGAGGTTCAGGGAATAGAGTATATAGGGTCTACCATTCGGTATAATTTACGGGACACTTGCTATGTTCCAGGCACTGTGCTAAATACTTTAGATGCATGAGCTTATTTAATTATCACATCAACACAATGAAGAAGGTACTAATATTATCCACATTTTATAGGTGATGACACTGAGGTTCAGAGAGATGATGACTTGCTTAAGGTCACACAGCTAGTCATTGATGGATGAGGGATTCAAATACACATGTGGGAGGTTTTAAATCAGTGATCCTAAGCACAGCATTATGCTTTCAATCCTTTATATAGGTATGGATTTCAGAGACCACAGGAAGGACACGTGAGACTCATTTTTCTCTACACCTCAAACTGATAGGAAATGTCTCGAATGTTTCTAAGTGGATTAGAGTCTTTCCCGCCATAGGGAGAGCTCTGGGGCCAGGTTGTACATTATGGGACAGGGAGCTAAGCACCATACTCTTGTTTCCATTGAGAGGGGAGAGACTTAAGAGTATGACCTTTCCTGAGAAGAGCAGAAGAAAAGTGAGAGCCTACGAGGGCCTAGAAGTCAGAACCTCTTGTTGACCAGGAATAGACTGTTTGGAGAAGTGTGCTGTTTAATCTCCAGTTACTTTGAGATTTCGCAGCTATCTTTCTGTAAGTGACTTGTAGTTTAATTCCATTTGGTTTGAGAGCACACTTGGTATAATTTATGTATTATTTTAAATTTGTTAAGGTATATTTTAAGGCCGAGGATATGGTCTATCTTGGTAAATGTTCCATGTGAACTTGAGAAGAATGTGTAATCTGCTGTTGTTGAATAAAGTATTCTAGAAATGTCAATTCGATTCAGTTGATCGACGGTGCTGTTCAGTTCAGCTATGTCCTTTACTGATTTTCTGCCTGCTGGATCTGACAATGACTGATAAAGGGGTGGTGAAATCTCCAATTACAATAGTGTTTTCATGTATTTTTACCTTCCAGTTTCATCAGTTTTTACTTCATATATTTTGGTATGTTGTTGGTTGTCACATGCACATTAAGGATTGTTTGTCTTCTTGGAGAATTTCCCCTTTATCATTATATTTGTTTTATTGTTATATAATGCAACTGTTTATTGCTGAGAATTTCCTTGCTTTGAAGCCTATTTTGTCTAAAATGAATACAGCTATCCTAGGTTTCTTTAATTTGCGTTAGCATGGTATATCTTTCTCTATCCCTTTGCTTTTGATTAATCTGCATCTTTATATTTAAAGTGGGTTTCTTACAAACAACCTACGATTGGGTCTTATTTTGTTATCCACACTGAGAGTCTTTGTCTTTTAATTGATGTATTTAAACCATTTATGATTACAGTCATTACTGACATAGTTGGATTAATATTTGCCAGAGTTGTAAATGTTTTCTATTTTTTTTAAATTCTTTATTCTTATGTCTTCCACTTAATTTCTGGCTTCTCCAGTTTTAATTGGGCATTTTACATGATGACGTTTTATCTTATCTTTAGCATATGCATTAGACTTAAAAAAATTTAGCAGTTCCCCTAGAGTTTGCAGTATACATTTACAACCAATCCCAATCCACTTTCAAATAATACTATACAGCTTTATGCATAGTGCAAGTACCTTGTAACAGAGTATTCCAAACTATTCCCTTTCATGCTATACAATATTACTCTCATTAATTTCACTTATTCATAAGCTACATTCACTAAATACATTATTATTACTTTGAAAAAATATTGTCTGTTAGGTCAGTTAATAAGAAAACTAAAGTATTTTACTTTACTTTCATTTATTCCTTCTCTAACACTCTTCCTATCTTCATGTAGATCCAAGTATCTGAGTTATATCATTTTCTTTATGTAGAACGTCTTTTAACATTTCTTGCAAAGCAAGTTTATTGGTGACAATTCCACAATTTTTTGTTTTGTTTTGTTTGAGAAAGTCTTTATTCTTCTTTCACTTTGGAAGAATAATTTGATGTATACAGAATTCTAGGCTGGTGGGGTTTTTTCCTTCAACACTTGTAATATTTCACTCCACTTTCTTCTTGCTCCCATGGTTTCTGAAGAAAACTCTGATACAGTTCATATCCTCACTCCTCTTAGGTAAGGTACGTCTTCCTCTGGCTTTTAAAAAAAATTTTCTGCTGTCTGAATATGATATGCCTAGGTATAGACTGTTTAGTATTTATCCTGCTTTGTGTTCTCCTAAGCTTCTTGGACCTGAGGTTTAGTGTGCATAATTTATTTTGGAAAATTTGTATCTATTATTACTTAAAATATTTCTTCTGTTCCTTTCTCTCTTTCTTCTCCTTCTATTATTTCCATGATGTATATATAACACTTTTAAAATTGTTCCACAGTTCTTGGATATTCTAAGATGTAGCTTAAGATTCTTTTTTATTTTTATTTTTTAGCTTTAGGAATTTCTATGAATGTATTTTCAACCTCACTGATTCTTTACCCAACCATGTCCAGTCTATTGATGAGTGAATCAAAGACATTCTTCATTCCTGTTGCAGTATTTCTGATATCCAGCATTTCCCTTTTATTTTTCTAGGATTTTCATGTTTCTGCTTACATTACCACGTGTTACCCTTATGTTTGGTACACTTTATTCACTAGTGCCCATGGCATATTAATCATGGGTTTTAAAATTCTTGGTTTGACCCATTAAAAAATTGGCAAAGGGCACAAACAGACACTTCTGAAAAGACATAAATGTAGACAAGAAGCATTCGAAAAAAATGCTTAAAATCACTGATCATTAGAGAAATGGAAATCAAAACCACAATGAGATACCACACCAGTCAGAATGGCTATTACTAAAAAGTAAAAAAACAAAAACAAAAACAAAACAAAACATGCTGGCAAGGTGTGGAGAAAAAAGAATGGTTATATACTGTTGGTGAGAGTGTACATTAGTTCAGCCACTGCGGAAGACAGTGTGGCCATTCATCAAATATCTAAAAACAGAAATACCATTTGACCCAGCAATCCCATTACTGGGTATATACCCAAAGGAATATACATCATTCTACCATAAAGACACATGCACATGTATGTTCACTGCAGCACTATTTACAATAGCAAAGACCTAAATGCCCATCAATGGTGGACTGGATAAAGAAAATGCGGTACATACATATCACGGAATACTATGCAGCCTTAAAAAAGAATGAAATCCTGTCCTTTGCAGGAACAGGGATGGGAACTGGAGGCAATCATCCTAAGTGAGTTAATACAGGAACAGAAAACCAATGCTGCATGTTCTCACTTATCAGTGGGAGCTAAACATTGAATACACATGTACACAAAGAANAACAAATACTGCATGTTCTCACATGTAAGTGGGAGGTAAACAATGAGAACACATGGACATAAAAACAGGAACCACAGACACTGGGGCCTACTTGAGGGTGGAGGGTTGGAGAAGGGTGAAGATTGAAAAATGACCTATTATGTCCTGTGCTTATTACCTGGGTGACAAAATAATCTGTACACTAAACATCTGCAAAACTCAGTTTAACCACATAACAAACCTGCACAGGTATCCACTGAACCGAAAATAAAAGTTGGAAAAAATCTTTCAATCAAAAATAAAATTGTTTGATAATTTCAACATCTCTGACATATTGAGGTCTGGCTGTGATGTTTGTTTTCTCTCTTCAGACAGTGTTTTTCTCCTTTTACCATGCCTTCTCATTGTAGGTTGAAAGCCAGACATGATGTATTGGGTAAAAGGAACTAAACTAAATGGCATTTAGTGTATCTGGCTACAAGTTAGATAATGTTTCCTGTTTGGAGCAGTTTTAGGTGTCAGAGGCTAAAATTACTACTTTTTTTGACAGGGTCTTGCTCTGTTGCTCTCTAGGAGTAGTGGTGCGATCTTGGCTCATTGCAAGCTCCACCTGCTGGGCTCAAGCCATCCTCCAAATGCAGCCTCCTGAGTGGCTGGGACTACGGGTGCACACCATCACGCCTAGCTAATTTTTGTATTTTTCATAGAGACAGAGTTTTGCCATGTTGCCCAGGCTGGCCTCAAATTCCTGAGCTCAAGTGATCTGCCTACCTCAGCCTCCCAAAGTGCTAGGATTACAAGTGTGAGCCACCGTGCCTGGCCAAAATTACTTCTAATGTCGTATTTTTGTTGTTTCGGTTGTCTTTGGTTTTCCCTCAGAACATTTTCTTAAATAGGGTTTGGGTTTGTAGTTCAATCAGCTGTAACTTTCCGTTATTGTAGAGGAGCACAGTTGATATGGTGATAGTGTGTGGAGTGAGAGGAAGCATTCTATACTCTTATGAGGAGGTCTCAGTCTTTCAGTGAATTGGTGTCCCTGGGATATAAACTTACAAGGGTTTCTGAGATTTTAGCCCTCTTGAGTGAAACAAGAAGACTAGAAAGGGCTGGATTTGGGGAGATCCATCCCTCTACACTGGGGCTTGGGAGCTGGCAAGGGGTACTACCCATTTTTCCTCAGGTTGCTTGACTCTGGTAAAACAAACTCAACCTTGGGTCCCAAAGGCTCTGTGACTGAAAGATTAAGGAACAAAAGCTATACATTTGCAAGACACCAGAACAAAGAGCTCCAAAGTATTATGGTATGAAATGCTGATTGCAGAACTTTACGGATTCAGGGGATAAAGTCAAAGCCTCCTTGGTCTATGGCCTCGGATCCATGGGCACAGTGGTAGAACTGCAACAAGACTAAAATTGATATGGCTCCCAACTCTGGTTTCCAATTCTATAATGCCAGTACTCTATACTATTAGGCCTTTAAAGTAAAATTAAAAAAATTAACAAAGACTCAAACCTTGTGGTCTGAAGAATGAGAGTCTCTGTGGCCTAAGGTTTTCTTACTTTTGGATTCTAGGATCCCAAGGTGTTCTAGCTTGAGGGTCCTCTATGACCTTGGGCTTTTGTGGTTGAGGGTCTCAACGGTTTCAGTCCCCACAGACCAATGTGTCAATGTTCTTAGAACTCTATGGCTCCAGGTCCACAGGCTCCTGTTAGGTAAGATACCAGGACCATAGGGTAGGCTCAAGTCTGTAAGACTAAAGAGTCATGGGATGATGGGATCTCTGCTCCCAGGATCCCATTGTTACCACACTGACTGATTTCTGGGCCTTCTGATACTAGCACTAAGAAAGGGTTCCAGGATCCTTCTTACCTGTTTCATCTTGGTACCAAACACGGAGCCGCTTACGTCAATAACAAAAAACACATTCTTCTCCATAGGTGGAAGGCCTCTAGGGGCAAAGTAGTGAACGAAATAGCCATCGTAAATCTGGACAAAAGAATTAAAACCAAAAAGGACTGTGAAAGCCAATCTAAGTCAGGTCCCCTCTTATTCTCCTGCATAACACTCTGAGGTTTGCTTCCCAGGACTTCTCACTTTTTAAACAG